TGTCATCAGTGATGGACTGGATGAGGGCTAGTAAGTTGAAGGTAAATCCAGACAAAACAGAGGTACTCCTGGTCAGTAGTAAGGTGAATTGTGGTGTGGGATTGCAGCCTGTGTTGGATGGGGTTGCACTCCCCCTGAAGGCACATGTCCACAGTCTGGGGGTGATCCTGGACTCATCGCTGGTGCTGGAACCCCAGGTGTCAGTGGTGGCCAGGGACTCCTTCACACAACTAAAATTTGTGCACCAGCTACGCCTGTACCTTGAGACACAGGATCTGGCCATGACAGTCCACGCCTTGGTTACTTTCCGTTTGGACTACTGCAACGCTGTCTACATGGGGCTGCCTTTGAAGACAGTTTGGAAGCTGCAAGTAGTTCAGAGATCGGCAGCCAGGTTACTATCTGTTGCATTGTATTGTGAGCGGACAATACAGTACAACCTATGACACCATGATGCGGCAGCTCCACAGGCTGCTGATCTGCTTCCAGGCTAAATACAAAATGCTAGTTGTTACCTATAAAGCCCTAAATCAGTAGTTGTCAACTTTCCTAAGGTTGTGACACCTTAATACAGTTCCTCCTGTATTAAATTATTTTCCTTGCTACTTCTTAACTGTAATTTTGCTGCTGTTATGAATTGTAATGTAAATATCTGATATACAGGATGTATTTTTATTCACCGGACCAAATTTGGCACAAATACCCCATATGCCCAAATTTGATGGGGTTGGGGAAGATTGATTTTGTCATTTGGAAGTTGTATTTGCTGGGATTTATAGTTAACCTACAATCAAAGAGCATTCTGAACTCCACCAACAATGGAATTGAACCAAACTTGGAACACAGAACTCCCATGACCAACAGAAAATATTGGCAGGGTTTGGTGGGTACTGACCTTGAGTTTTGGAGTTGTAGTTCGCCTACATCCAGAGAGCATTGCGGGCTCAAACAATGATGGATCTAGACCAGGGGTCCTCATACTACGACCCAGGGGCTGAATACGGCCCTCCAAGATCATTTACCAGGCCCTCACTCAAGGTCAACCTAAGTCTGAAATGACTTGAAAGCACACAACAACAACAACAACAACAACAACAACAACAGCAGCAGCAGCAATCCTATCTCATCAGCCAAAAAAGCAGGGCCACACTTCCCAATGAAATACTAATAAGTTTATATTTGTTAAAATTGATCTTCATTTTAATTATTGTATTGTTCTAAAGTGTTTTTTGCACTACAAATAAGATATGTGCACTGTGCATAGGAATTAATTCATGTTATTTTCAAATTATAATCCGGCCCTCCAATAGTTTGAGGGACTATGACCTGGCCCTCTGTTTTAAAAGTTTGTGGACCCCTGATCTAGACCAAACTTGGCATGAATACTCAATATGCCCAAATGTGAACACAGGTGGAATTTGGAGAAAATAGACTTGACATTTGTGAGTTGTAGTTGCAGGGATGTATAGTTCACCTACAATCAAAGAGCATTCTGAACCCTACCAACGATAGAATTGGGCCAAACTTCCCACACAGAACTCCCATGACCAACAGAAAATACTGTGTTTTCTGATGATCTTTGGCAACCCCTCTGACGCCCCTTCGTGACACCCACAGGGGTCCCGACCCCCAGGTTGAGAAACACTGCCCTAAATGGTTTGGGCTCAGACTATTTGAAAGACCACATTGGGCACTGAGGAGGAGGCCCTGCTCTTGGTCCCACCCCCATCTCAAGTGTGGCTGGTGGGAATGAGAGAGGAGGCCTTCTCTGTGGTTGCCTCCCACCTCTGGAACTCCCTCCCAAAAGAACTAAAAACTGTCCTCTCTCTCCTTGTCTTCAAAAAATGGTTAAAAACCCTGGCGTATGGAGAGGAGGAAGACTAATACACCTCAACTTACATCCTGGGCTAGGTATGTTAAACCTTGTCTAGAAACTGGAATTTACTTCAGCCTGTTGGTTGCTGCAAATCACCTCGTCTCTCTATAAGGTTTTTGTTATTAGTTGTTATTGTCTGTTATTAAGTTTCCTCTTGACATTAAGTCTCATTGTGTCCAACTCTGGGGGTGGTGCTCATCTCCATTTCTAAGCCGAAGAACTGGCATTGTCCATAGACGTCTTCTGGGTCATGTGGCCAGCATGTCTGCATGGAGCGCCGTTACCTTCCTGATGGAGCGGTACCTATTGATCTACTCACATTTCCATGTTTTTGAACTGCTAGGTTGGCAGAAGCTGGACCTAACAGGAAGTTAACAATGCTCTACACAGTCATGCTGGCCACATGACCTTGGAGGCATCTATGGACAACACAGACTCTTTGGCTTAGAAATGGAGATGAGCACCAACCCACAGAGTCGGACTCGACTAGATTTAATGTCAGAGGAAAATCTTTACCTTTACTCAAAGGTAAAATTTTCCCCTGACACGAAGTCTAGTCCTGTGGTGCTCATCTCCATTTCAGTGGTTTAACAAGCTGCACCACCAGGGGTCCCCTATACTGTATTACGATATATACAGTACAACCTATGACACATTGTAATCTGCTGTTATTATATTGTTATTATTTATTATATTGTATCTTATTATATCCTTGAAGTGACTGGATTGACCTTGAAGGAGCTGAGGGTGGTGACGACCAACAGGGAGCTCTGGCGTGGACTGGTCCATGAAGTCACGAAGAATCGGAAACGACTGAACGAATGAACAACAATCTTATTATATAGGAAAATATATTATATAATCCTGTGCTATTATTATATTGATATTATTTATTATATTATACAATATTATATATAGCATAATATATTATATTACAATATGCTATTATTATTATTTACATTATACATTATTATATAGGATGTTATGTGATATAATACTTTTCTATTATTATATTGCTGTTATTTGTTATATTATATGATATTCTATAAAGCATAATATATTATATTACAATATGCTATTATTACTTATATTATATATTATTATATAGGGTGTTATATAATATTTTGCTATTGTTACATTGCTATTCTTTATTCTTTATTATATTATACTATACTATATAAAGTATATTATATTAGAATATGCTACTATTATACTGCTATTACTTATATATACACTATTTAATATATTATATATATAGTACATATATGATATATACTATATATAATATGGTGTGTGTATATATATGATAAATATAATATGATATATATTATATTATATTATAATTTGCCACTATTATACTGCTATTACTTATATATACAGTTTACTATATCACATATATATTATATATATATATACTATATATATAATATAGTGTGTGTGTATATATATCATAAATATAATATGATATATAGTATATTATATTAGAATATGCTACTATTACACTGCTATTACTTATATATATACTATTTACTATATAATGTATATAGTACATATATAATATATCATATATAATATATATATGATATATATGATATGATATATAGTATATTATATTAGAATGTGCTACTATTATATTATTACTTATATATACGCTATGTACTATACCATATATACAGTTTACTATATCACATATATATTGTACATATATACTATATATATAATATAGTGTGTGTGTATATATATATGATAAATATGATATATAGTATGTCATATTCGTATATGCTATTATTATACTGCTATTACTTATATATACTATTTACTATATCATATATATAGTACATATATTATATATATATATGATATATAGAATATTATATTAGAATATGCTACTATTACACTGCTATTATATATATACTATTTACTATATCATATATATAGTACATATATGATATATACTATATATAATATAGTGAGTGTATATATATATATACATATATATAGTATATTATATTAGAATATGCTACTATTATACTGCTATTATATATACACTATTTACTATATCATATATATAGTACATATATGACTTATACTATAAATATATATAATATAGTGTGTATATATATGATATATAGTATATTAGAATATGCTATTATACTGCTATTACTTATATATACATAACGTAATATATCATATATAGTACATATATGATATATACTACATATAACATAGTGAGTGTATATATACATATAGCATATTATATTAGAATATGTTACTATTATTCTGCTATTATATATACACTATTTACTATATCATATATATAGTACATATATGATCTATACTATATATATAAAATATAATGTTTATTATATTATGCTATACTATATATATTATATTAGAATATGCTACTACTATACTGCTATTACTTATATATACACTACATACTACTGCACATATATAGTACATATGTGATATATACTATATACATAATATAGTGTATGTGTATATAGATATATATATATTACAATATATTATAGTGTGTGTGTGTGTGTGTATATATATATATATTACAATATATTATAGTTTGTATATATATATATATATATATATATAATAGTGTGCTTGTACACACACACACACATATATATTGCAATATATTATAGTGTGTTTGTATATATATAGATATATATTATAGTGTTTGTATATATATAGATATATATTATAGTGTTTGTATATATATAGATATATATTATAGTGTGTTTGTACACACACACACACACATATATATATATATTACAATATATTATAGTGTGTGTGTATATATATAGATAGATATAGTACAATATATTACATTATAATTTGCTATTATTATTATTATTGGAGGAGCCCGGAATGTCAATTCCCCAATGCATTCCAAAGGAGGAGACACGTGTCTTCCCCGTTTCCTAGTCCCCGCCCACTAGCAAGGAAGTGGGCGTGGCTCCAAACAGGGATCTCGCCCCGCCTGTGACGTAGAACACCTAATAAGGGGCACCGGGGCGTGGCTTGAAGCGGAGTAGGCGTGGCTTGGAACAGAGTGGGCGCGGATTGGCTGAGTATATAAACCTTCGCTGCTTGGCGGCAGAGCGAAGCTTGTGAGTGTTAATAGAAGCTGAGCTTCGAGGTTGCACGTGTGAATCGGTTCCTTTTGCCGTGTTGGTCCCTTTCCGCGATGGTGATGGAGGAAGTCTCGATGCTGGAGTGTTCGGGCTTGGCGCGGCTGCTGCGGGACCCGGCGGAGAGCGGGCGGACGCTGGTGCTGGACTGCCGGCCCTTCCTGGCCTTCTGCCAAGCCCACGTCCGGGACTCGAGGCCCGTGCACTGGAACGGGTTACTCCGGCGCCGCTCCCGAGGAAGAAGCAACGCAGGAACAGGGGGTTTGGTGGGTCTGGAAGGGCTGCTGCCGGACCGGGCGCTGCTGGGGCGCCTGCGGAGGGGGGAAGTGGCCCACCTGGTGGCCCTGGACCAGGGCAGCCCCGCCCTCGACGCCCTCCGCCCGGACTCCCCCGCCAGGAGCCTCCTCGCCGCCCTCCTCGCCGAGGAACCCGGGCGCGGACCCCCACGGACACAGCTCTACCTCCTCCGAGGTACCCAGGCCCACCTCCTCCCACTCCCACCAGTCCCAACAGTTAGGAATGGGGGGAGAGCCGAAGTTGGCCCATGCCTGGCCTGTCTACTCCATGCACATCTCCATCTGCCTGTCTATTTCCCTCCCTCTTTCTATCTATTCCACTGGTTCCCAACCTCTGGGTCCCCAGAGGTTTTGGCTTTCAACTCCCAGAAATCCTAACTGTTGGTAAACTGGCTGGGATTTCTGGGAGTTGTAGGCTAAAGCACCTGGGGACCCACAGGCTGGGAACCACTGCTTTATGCTGTGTCTGCCTGTCTATCTCCCCCACCCTCTCTCCCTCTCTATCTATCTAATCTATCTATCTATCTCTGCCTATCTATCTATCTCCCCCACCCTTCCTGCCTTTCTTTCTTTCTATCTCCATCTATCTCCCCCACCCTTCCTTCCTTCCTTCCTTCCTTCCTTCCTTCCTTCCTTCCTTCCTTCCTTCCTTCCTTCCTTCCTTCCTTCCTTTCTCTTCTTCTGTCTACCTATCTTTCTTTCTTTCTTTCTTTCTTTCTTTCTTTCTTTCTTTCCTTTCTTTCCTTTCTTTCTTTCTTTCTTTCTTCTCTTCTTCTTTCTTCTTCCTTCTTCCTTCTCCCCCCCCTACCTCCTCTTCCTTCCTTCCTTCCTTCCTTCTTCCTTCCTTCCTTCCTTCCTTCCTTTCTTTCTTTCTTTCTTTCTTTCTTTCTTTCTCCATCTGTCTATCTATCTCCCCCACCCTTCCTTCCTTCCTTCCTTCCTTTCTTTATTTCTCCGTCTGTCTATCTATCTCCCCCACTCCTTCCTTCCCTTTCTTTCTTTCTTTCTTTCTTTCTTTCTTTCTTTCTTTCTTTCTTTCTTTCTCTCTCTCTCTCTCTCTCCGTCTATCTATCTATCTCCCCCTTTCTTTCTTTCTTTCTTTCTTTCTTTCTTTCTTTCTTTCATCTCTGTCTATCTACCCTTTCTTTCTTTCTTTCTTTCTTTCTTTCTTTCTTTCTCTCTCTATATCTATCTGTCTGTCTGTCTGTCTATCTTATCTATCTCTTTCTGCATCTATGTCCCTCCCCCTCTCTTTCTATCTTTTCTGACTATCTCTATCTTCCTCCCTCCCTCCTTATATCTCTATATATCTCTATCTATATATCTATCTATCTCCCTCCCTTTTTTCTTTCTATCTATCTCCCTCAATCCATTTATCTCTTTCTCTATCTCTCTCTATTCTATATCTATCTCCCTCCTTCTTTATATCTATCTGTCTGTCGGTTTCCCTCTCTTTCTATTTATCTGTCTATCTCCCCTCACTCTCTTCCTTCCTTCCTTCCTTCCTTCCTTCCTTCCTTCCTTCCTTCCTTCTTCCTTCCTTCCTTCCCTCTTTCTTCCCTCTATCTATCTCCTACTCTCTCTATCTATTCTATTTCTATTGCTTTCTTTCTTTCTATTTCCATCTGTTTATCTCCCACCCTCTTTCTTTCTATGTATTCTATCTCCCTCTCTCCTTCCTTCCTTCCTTTCTCCATCTGTTTATCTCTTCTATCAATCTGATCTATCTATTCTATCCTATCTGTGTTTCTCCATCTGTCTCTCTCCCTCTTTCTATTTTATCTATCTATGTATCTCCATCTGTCTCCCCCCCTCTATTATCTATCTATCTATCTATCTATCTATCTATCTATCTATCTGTATCTGTCTTTCTATCTATCTATCTCCCTCCCTCTATCTGTCTCTATTTATATCAATCCTCCACCCACTGCCTCTCTTTCTATTTCAACTTGTCTATCTGCCTCTATCTATCTATCTATCTATCTATCTATCTATCTATCTATCTATCTATCTATCTATCTATCTCCCCCCTCTCTCTAGCTAGTATCTATCTATCTCTCTTTCTATTTTTCTGACTATTCTGTCAATCTATTCCATTTTTCTATCTATATATTTCATCTACTCTGTCTACCTACCTATCTCTCTCTCTCTCTATCTGTTCTAATCTCTCTATTCTATCTATCTGTGCAATCTATGTATCTCCATCTATCTCTTCTTCTTTCTGTCTGCCAATATCTGTATCTATCTTTCTCTCTTTTCCTCCCTCTCTTTCTATTTCCATCTGTTTATCTCCCTCTCTCCCTCTTTCTATGTATTCTATCTCTGTCTCTACTTATCTACCTATCTCTTATTCTATCTATCTCTAACTGTATCTCCCTCCCTCTCTCTTTCTATCTGTCTTATCTATCTCCCTCTCTTTACTCTCTCTCTCTCTCTCTCTCTCAGTATCTCAGTCTATCTATTCCCCCTCTCTATTATATCTATATCTATCTAGTCTCGTTGAGTCTCCATATGGAGAGAAAAAGCAAGGTATAAATAATAACAATCTCCCTCTCTTTCTTTCTATCTATTCTATCTCCTTCTGCTTTTTTCTCTCTCCCCCTAGTATCAATGCATAGAAAGAGAGATAGATATCTATTCCATTTCCCTATCTATATATTACACCAACTCTTCCTCCCTCCCTATCTCTCCCTCTTTATCTATTCATTTCTCTGTATTCTATCTATCTCCCTATTCTCTGCCATCTATCCTATTTCCCTCTCTATCTACCCACCTATTTCTCTCTTCCTATCTATTATCTCTCTCTCTCTCTCTCTGTTTTATCTATCCTATCTGTCTCCCCTCTCTCTCCCATCCTTTCTCTCTTCTTTTCTTTCTTTATGTATCTTATCTGTCTCGCTATCTCTCCTATCTATCCATCCCCTCTCTCTCTAGCCTATCTATCTGTCCTCTATTTATTCTATTAAGTCTATTCTATCCTATCTATTCTCTTCTCTGTCTTATTGGACTGCCAGGCCCAGCAGCCCCTGATCGCCTAGATTGGCCTGCTTCCTCTCTTCCTCCTCTCTGATGTCTTTTTTGGGTGTCAACTAACACTCCCAGCACATTAACCTTGAATGTAGAATAAATGGCAGCACTTGAATGGCTGCTGCTTAATGCTATGAAGTAATGGGATCTGTAGTTTCACATGATATTGAGCCTTCCCTACTGGGGTGTCATCAAAGCTCCCATTGAGCAATAGTAGTTAAAGTGGGGGCCAAATGGGGAAAGTGTAGGGTCCTCCTCTCTTAGTGCTTTGAAATATCCAACTATTGGTTCCCATGCAAAGGTGTGCTAAAATGTCTCCCTCTTCCACGTGTCTTTTGTCTAGGTGGGTTTGAAAACTTCCAAGCAAATTTCCCCGAATTGTGCTTTGTGGCCCCTACACCGCTGGCGACGATGGAAGTGCCTCCTTCTCCTTCTCCGCTTCTGCCGAGTCCTGAAGGCAGCGCCAACACCCCCTCCTACGACCAGGTAGGCGGCTCACCTGCTTCGGCACTGTTTGGCACCCATTTATTTATTTATGACATTTATATGCCACCCTTCTCATCCTGAAGGGGACTCAGAGCGGTTTACGAAATATATATACATACAATATATTATATTATTAGCATAGTACAATATCAGTATTAAATATTACTATATTGTATTATACCATTATATTGTAATATTATTAGTAATATTACATGTAATATAAATATATAATTACAATACCTTATTATTTTTCTTATTATATTGCATTACATTATAATATAATATTGACATTGCCCATCAACTCAAATAGAATATGGCACCAAGAATACAGGCCCAGGGTTGGCAAGGAGCTCAAAACCCCCTCGATGTCCCCATCGACCCCATATGGATATGGCACCAAGTAGGCATGCCCCCAAACCCAATATGGCACCAAGTAGACATGCCCCCAAACCCAATATGGCACCAAGTAGGCATGCACATAAACTCAAACTGAATATGACACCAAGAAGACAGGCCCAAGAATCCAATAGGAATCTTCTTGTGGAGAGAAAAGCAGGATATAAACATCAACATAATAGCGGTAATAGTAATAATAATAATATTAATAGGAGCCCCCGGTGGCACAGTGGGTTAAACCCCAGTGATGGCAGGACTGAAGACCGACAGGTCGCAGGTTCAAATCCAGGGAGAGTGCGGATGAGCTCCCTCTATCAGCTCCAGCTCCTCATGTGGGGACATGAGAGAAGCCTCCCACAAGAATAGTAAAGCATCAGCAACATCCAGGCATCCCCTGGGCAACGTCCTTGCAGACGGCCAGTTCTCTCACACCAGAAGCGACTTGCAGTTTCTCAAGTCGCTCCTGACATGACAAAATAATGACAATAATATAGGAATATAGGTTGTCAAAGAACTGCACAAGCCAGTCAAGAGGGTCCCAGTGATGATTGGCACACTGGGTGCAGTGCCTAAAGACCTTGGCCTGCACTTAAACACAATCAGCGCTGACAAAATCACCATCTATCAGCTGCAAAAGGCCACCTTACTCATATTTGCACACATTATTTGCCAATACATCGCATAGTTGTAGACACTTGGGAAGTGTCCAATGTGTGATCCAATACAAAAGCCAGCAGAGTGATCCTGTTTACTGTGTACTCATCTTGTTATGTGTCTAAATAATAATAATAATATAGGAATAGGGCACCAGGTTGTCAAGGAGCTCAAAACCCTTTCACTGTACCTATTGACCCTATAATGGATTGGCTCCAAGTAGACATACCCACAAACCCAAACTGGATTTGGCACCAAGTTGGCAAAGTGCAAGAAATCCTCTTAACGTGTCCACAAACCTAAGATGAATTGGGCACCAAGTTGGCAAGGAGCTGGAAACCCTCTTAAGAGGCCCATAAACCCAAATGGGATTTGGCACCAAGTTGGCAAAGTGCTAGAAACCCTCTTAACATGCCCACAAACCCAATATGGATCCAGCACCAAGTTGGCAAGGAGTTGGAAACCCTCTTTAAGATGCCCATAAACCAACTAGACATATTCCTAAACCCAATATAGATTTGGCACCAAGGAGCTTGAAACTGTCTTGGCATGTCAATAGACCCAATATGGATTCAGCACCAAGTTGGCAAGGAGATGAAAACTATCCTTGTATGTCCATATTGATAAACCCAAGATGGATTAGGTCACACGTTTGCAAGAGACCGAAAGCCCTCTTGCTGTGCCCAAAAACCTAATATGAACTGGGAACCCCCTTGGCATGCCCATGCCCTCCCAAATTGCTCTTAGTTAACAGGCCATCCTTTTTAATTGAACTGTCTAGACTTTGCGGCAGGGCTAATTGTGCAAAACGAGTGCTGGCGCGACAGGGAGGGCAGAAGGAAGGAGACTATTCGGCAGCTCCCGTCCCTGAGGCTTTAGTCTATGTGCCGGAGCTGGGATTTGTAGTGACTCAATTTTAATCCACTTTTCCCAAACGTATAATATACATAAATATATATAAAATAATTGCATATAGCCAAGACGTCACTGGAGATGCCTGAAGGGAAAAACTGAAGAATGTACAAGAGTTCATTAAACAATATCAAATAGTCTGTAATGCGTTCATTCTGTGCCATCTTTGCACTCTTGATACCATTTTCCTTATTTCTAATGATGCCAATTTTGGTTTGTGGACTGGACAATGGCTTTAGGTTCGAATCCTCGCTTGGCCATATTTGCTTGAGTCCCCTTTGGGAGATAGGGAGGGATATAAATCAAGTGTTGTTGTTGTTGTTGTTGTATTTTCAGGGGCGTAAAACATATTTGGGGTTGACTACAGGCCCTTCTACATAGCCCTACCCCATTTCCCCAAAAATAAGACATCCCCTGAAAATAAGACCTAGCAGAGGTTTTGCTCAACTGCTTAATATAAGGCCTCCCCGAAAGTAAGACCTAGCAAAGTTTTTGTTTGGAAGCGTGCTCGCTCCCCATTCAGCTGTGATTCAACAATAAATGTGAATTCTTCTTCATGGAAAAATAAGACATCCCCTGAAAATAAGACTAGCACATCTTCAGGGGCAAACATCAATATAAGACACTGTCTTATTTGCAGGAAGGAGGGTAATATCCCAGAATATCAAGGCAGAAAATCTCAAATTATCAGTTTTGAACTGAAATATATGGCAGTGTGGACTCAAATAACTCAGTTTATAGAATCAAAGAGTTGGAAGAGACCTCATGGGCCATCCAGTCCAACCCCCTGCCAAGAAGCAGGAATATTGCATTCAAATCACCCCTGACAGATGGCCCTGACAGTTCAAAGCAGATATTGTAGGATTTTGTGCCTTGATACTCTGGGATATAAGGCTGTGTGGAAGGGCCCACAGCCCCCCCCCCCAAATTATTTATTTACAACATTTATATCCCGCCCTTCTCACCCTCAGAGCAGCTTACAAGTAATATGTACATACAATATATTATATTATTAGCATAGCACAATATTAGTATTATATATTACTATATTGTACTATACTGCAACATTATTTGTAATATTACATTTAATATATGATATATAATATTATCATCTTGTATTATTAGTATTGTATTACAATATTATGATCAATATTATATGTAAATACAATATATTATATTATTAGCATAGTACAATATTAGTATTATATATTACTATATTGTACTATACTGCAACATTATTAGTAATATTACATGTAATATGTAATATATAATTATATTATATTATTAGTATTATATTGTATTACAATATTATGATCAATATTATATGTAAATACAATATATTATATTAGCATAGCACAATATTAGTATTATATATTACTATATTGTACTATACTTCAATATTATTAGGAACATTACATGTAAAATGTAATATATAATTATATTATTAGTATTATATTGTATTACAATATTATGATCAATTTATTATTGTTAACCATATTTATATACCGCCTTTCACAGCCCAAAGGCGACTCAGGGCGGTTTAAATTGTATATGTAAATACAATATATTATCATAGCACAATATTAGTATTATATAGTACTATATTGTACTACACCATTATACTGCAATATTATTAGGAATGTTACATGCAATATATAATATACAATTATTATATTGTATTGTTAATATTATATTGCATTACATTATAATATTATGATCAATATTTTATGTAAATACAATATATTGGAGCCTCCGGTGGCGCAGTGGGTAAAACCCCTGTGTCGGCAGGACTGAAGACCGACAGGTTGCAGGTTCAAATCCGGGGAGAGTCGGATGAGCTCCCTCTATTAGCTCCAGCTCCTCATGCGGGGACATGAGAGAAGCCTCCAACAAGGATGATAAAAACATCAAATCATCCAGGCGTCTCCTGGGCAACGTCCTTGCAGACGGCCAATTCTCTCACACTAGAAGCGACTTGCAGTTTCTCAAGTCGCTCCTGACACGACACAAAAAAAATACAATATATTATATTATTAGTATAGCACAATATTAGTATTATATATTATCATATTGTTGCTGGGGAGGGGCTATTCCTCCCTATTTTTTTAAAAGGATATTATTATTATTATTACTATTATTATTAAATATTCCACCCTGGTTTTTAGAAAAGGATATTATTATTATTATTATTATTAGGGCATGGGGTGGGGTTGGATTTGTTGGCCTTTGGGGTCCCTTTAATTGCTGCCACTACACTTTTTATGGGGAACACTGCCCCTGAATAGGACTCTCCGTAAGATCATGTAGCCTGGCATGGATCAGTGTTGGCCCCATCCGCCGCTTTGATCTTTTAATCCAAAGGCAGATGGCATTAGCCCTGGCATTATCAAATTACTATCAAAATCCCCCCCTCCCAAAAAAGCCTGATTAATTTAATCCATCCTTTTAAGCTTAATCTTCAATTTCCATGCAACTGCGTCTCCTTTCTGAGAAGCTAGCCAATCTCAAGGTCTGAGCCATTATGACAGCCCTATTTTGGGGGCGGGGGGATGGCTGGGAGTGGATGTAGTTGGCATGGCAAGAGATGCATGGTAGTCAATAGCTGACAGGCATTGCTGTCTTCGTCCTCCCTGCAGGGTGGTCCAGTGGAGATCTTGCCCTTCCTCTTCTTGGGCAGCTCCTTCCACTCCTCCAACCGGGAGGTGCTGCAATCCCTGGGCATCACGGCCGTCCTCAACGTCTCCTCCAGCTGCCCCAATTACTTTGAGGAGCAATTCCAGTACAAGAGCATCCCTGTGGAAGACAACCACATGGCCGAGATCAGCGCCTGGTTCCAGGAGGCCATCAACTTCATCGGTGAGCCATACAACCTCATTATGTCCATTATGGGGTGCAGGGCTTGGACTCTATGTTGGTATCTCCTTGCTTGGTACCTTGCATGGTATCTCCATCCTTACACTACATTCCTGAGCTATCAATGTCATCTCTTCATAAACACATGAGAAACACCATCAAAGCCTTCCTGACAAATGGCCACCCAGCCTCTACTTAATAATAATTATACTAATGATAATATTATAGAATCATAGATATGGAAGAGACCTCAAGGACCACATAATCCAACCCCAGTCTGCCTGGCATGAAAACACCATGAAAGTCCCCCAACAGATGGCCATCCAGCCTCTACTAAATAATAATCATGCTAATAATAATAGTACTATAGAATCCTAAAATTAGAAGAGACCTCAAGGGCCATATAATCCAACCCCAGTATGCCTGGCATGAGGACACCATCAAAACCCTCCTGACAGATGGCCATCCAGCCTCTACTTAGTAATAATAATACTAGTAATGATAATGCTATAAAATCCTAGAATTGGAGGAGACCTCAAGAGCCATATAATCCAACCTCTGCCTGGCATGAGGACTCCGTCAAAGCCCTCCCGACAGATGGCCATTCAGCCTCTACTTAGTAATAATACTACTACTACTACTAATAATAATAATATAGAATCCTAAAATTAGAAGAGATTTCAAGGGCCATATAATCCAACCCCAGTTTGCCTGGCACGGGGACACCATCAAAGCCTTCCCGACCGATGGCCATCCAGCCTCTACTTAATAATAATCATAGTAATGATAATACTATAGAATAACAGATATGGGAGAGACCTCAAGGCTCTCATAATCCAACCCCAGCCTGCCTAGCATGAGGACACCATCAAAGCCTTCCCCACAGATGGCCATTCAGCCTCTACTTAATAATTATCATACTAATAATGATAATATTATAGAATCCTAGAGTTGGAAGAGACCTCAAGGCCCATATAATCCAACCCCAGCCTGCCTGGCATGAGGACACCATCAAAGCCTTCCCGACAGATGGTCATCCAGCCTCTACTTAATAATAATCATACTAATGATATGACTATAGAATTATAGATATGGAAGAGACTCCAAAACCCAGATAATCCAACCCCAGCCTGCCTGGCATGAGGACACCATCAAAGCCCTCCCAACAGATGGCCATCAAGCCTCTACTTAATATGAATCATATAATAATACTATAGAATCCTAGTATTGGAAGAGACTTCAAGAGTGAATGTTGCAATTAGCAAGCTTGAATAACACTGAGGAGCCTGCAGCTGTAAATTTGATCTTTGCGTAGAGGTAGCCTGGCTGTTGTTGCCTGGAGGTATCCTCTGTCAGGGAGGTGTAAACTGGGACTTGATTGTTTGCTGCCTTAAGTTGGATGTTTGTAACTTATGGACTGCTTGTACAATGGGTTCAAATTGTTGACACACTTGGTCCTGAGCTGTTGTTGACCCTTTCCTGCTTCTTTTGCTGCAGATTCGGTGAAGAGCAATGGAGGGCGGGTGCTGGTCCACTGCCAGGCGGGCATCTCCCGCTCGGCCACCATCTGCCTGGCTTACTTGATCCAGAGCCGCCGAGTCCGGCTGGAGGAGGCCTTCGACTTCGTCAAGCAGCGCCGAGGGGTCATCTCCCCCAACTTCAGCTTCATGGGGCAACTCCTCCAGTTTGAGACGGAAGTCCTGTGCCACTAGGCTGCCATTGACGCCAACGACTCTTCCAAACACAGAGACTCGGACAGTGTGCCTGTTTACAATAGAAACCAATTGATGACGTTGGAAATTCTGGAAGGTCCACGTCAGGCATGGGCCTACTTGGGCTCACCCACCCTCCAGGTGTTTTGGACTACAACTCCCACAATTCCTAACAACCAGTAGGCTGTTAGGAATTGTGGGAGTTGTAGTCCAAAACACCTGGAGGGTGGGTGAGCCCAAGTAGGCCCATGCATGGTCGAGATTGTGATAGCAGCGTCAAACTGCTACAACTCTGCAGTGTGTGGACGCAACCTTGGGTGGCATGTCCTTGGACTTTTCTAGCAGGGATTTCCAAATCCCATTGAACTACTGGCATTATGGTTTTGAGTGTTGGACTGAAACTTGGGTTCAGATTTTCTCTCAGTTCCTATCTACATTGCAATCTAATGCAGGGTGGAATCGTCTATTGCAGCACAATTGTCTTACATGGCAGTGTAGACTCATATCTACACTACCATGTATTTATTTATTTACTATATAAATATAGTAAATAAATAAATATGCTGCAGCTCCGTGACAGTGTAGACTCTTGTATTGCAGCTCAATGCAGTTAAACTGCATTAGATGGCAGGGTGGACTCATAATGCAGCTCAATTGCATTAGATAGCAATGTAGACTCACCTATCATAGCTCTTTTACATTATATGGGGCAGCTCATATATTGCAGCTCAATTGCATTATATGACAATGTAGACGCATATATTGCAGCTCAATTGCATTACACAGCAATGTAGCCTCACCTTGGAGCCCAATTGCATTACATGGCAGTGTAGATGCCTATATTGCAACTTGGTTGCATTAGAAGGCTGTGTAGACTAATTTATTGTAGATCAATTGCATTTCATGGCGGTGTAGATGCATATATTGCAACTCAGTTGCATTACATGGCATTGTAGACTCCTACATTGGAACTTGATTGCATTCCGTGGCAGTATAGATGCATATATTACAATTCAGTTGCATTACACGGCATCGTGGACTCCTATTTTGGAGCTCAATTGCATTATATGCCAGTGTAGATGCATATATTGCAATTCAGTTGCATTACACGGCATCGTAGACTCCTATATTGGAGCTCAATTGCATTCCGTGGCAGTGTAGATGCATATATTGCAATTCAGTTGCATTACATGGCATCGCAGACTCGTATATTGCAGCTCAATTGCATTATATGGCAGTATAGACACCTGTATTGCAACTCGGTTGCATTAGAAGGCTCTGTAGACTCATCTACTGCAACTCAGTTGCATTTCATGGCAGTGCAGACTCCTATATTGGAAATCAATTGCATTATATGGCAGTGTAGACACCTATATTACAACTCAGTTGCATTATATGGCAATGTAAACACCTATATTACAACTCATTTGCATTATATGGCAATGTAAACACCTATATTACAACTCAGTTGCATTATATGGCAATGTAGATTCATCTATTGCAGGTCAACACAATTCAGCTGCCTTATATGGCAGTGTAGAGTCATATATTGCAACCCAATTGCATTACATGGCAATGTGGATTCATGTATTGCAGTTTAACATGGGAGCCCACCTTGGGCACTTCATCTTAGAAGGAAGCAATGGGAAGCCTATTGTGAGCAAACCAAGAGAGGCCGAAGAGAGATCTGCCATTAGGATTGTGCTCCCATTGCCTTACAGGGGTCTGAAAAAGAAATGGCCCCATTTCTACGTTTGATATTGTCTGCTGTGAAAGTCTTGGGTGTTTCCTTGCCCGGGATGGAAATGTCCTTTGTCTGAATGCACTGAGAAGAGGCATCCCCTTTTGTGGCCAAAGAACCCTTCGTTTTCCTTGGGGTGTTGCCTTAAACTTTATTGCAAGGGTCCCGTTCACTGGTTGGTTTCCATGGGATTTCTTGCCCATGGATTGGGACCATTTCCTGATCTCCCTTCGATGCCACAGTCTCCTGATCCAAAGCAATATAATGTTTGTGCTGTTTAGAGAAACTCTTATCTGGATTGGAAATGACTCTCTTTCTTTTGTTGCACTTTATATTTATTATTATCACCTGTGGCAATAAAGAGACTGATTTTTATACCGAATTTGTTTTATTGGGTTTTTTTTTTAAAATATTGATAACAAAAGATTCCCCCAGGCTCAGCCAGGCCTTCAAATGCTAATGAAGGTGGTCAGTTGAAACATTCACACCCAGCTCCAGCAGAGAAGAGCTCTTTGCCCCACCCCAGTCATTCCACAGATATATAAACCCATTTTCCTAATTCCAACAGACTTCACTACCTCTGAGGATGCAGGCGAAACGTCAGGAGAAAATGCCTCTAGAACATGGCCATATAGCCCGAAAAAACCCACAAGAACCTAATATTGATATTATTATTTTATTTATTATTAGCATTTATATTCCACCCATCTCACATAGAATCATAGTTGGAAGAGACCTCATAGGCCATCCAGTCCAATCCCCTGCCAAGAAGTAGCAATATTGCATTCAAAGCACTCCTAACAGATGGCCATCCAGCCTCTGTTTAAAAGCTTCCAAAGAACCACACTCCAAAGCACCACACTCCGAGGCAGAGAGTTCCACTGCTGAACGGCTCTCACAGTCAGGAAGTTCTTCCTCATGTTCAGATGGAATCTCCTCTCTTGTAGTTTGAAGCCATTGTTCCGCGTCCTAGTCTCCAAGGAAGCAGAAAACAAGCTTGCTCCCTCCTCCCTGTGGCTTCCTCTCACATTTATACACTGCTATCATATCTCCTCTCAGCCTTCTCTTCTTCAGGCTAAACATGCCCAGCTCATTAAGCCGATCTTCATAGGGCTTGTTCTCCAGACCCTTGATCATTTAAGTCACCCTCCTCTGGACACATTCCAGTTTGTCAATATCTCTCTTGAATTGTGGTGCCCAGAATTGGACACAATATTCCAAGTGTGGTCTAACCAAAGCGGAATAGAGGGGTAGCATTCCTTCCCTAGATCTAGACACTATGCTCCTATTGATGCAGGCCAAAGTCCCATTGGCTTTTTTTGCTGCCACATCACATTGTTGGCTCATGTTTAACTTGTCCATGAGGACTCTAAGATCTTTTTCACACGCACTACTCTCGAGCCACGCATTCCCCATTCTGCATCACTCCAAGGATGAGCCCCGCAGTGGATTAAACTGCTGAATTTGCTAATTGAAAGGTCACAGGTTTGAATCCAGGGAATGGGGTGAGCTCCTGCTGTTAGCCCCAGCTTCTGTCATCCTAGCAGTTTTATTTATTTCAGATATTTCTACCCCACCCTTCTCAACCCCCCGGGGGAGGGGGCTCAGGGCGGCTTCCAGCCAGCAACAATTCGATACCTCCAATGTACACATAATAAAATACATAAAATCCAATAATTACATACATTTAAAACATTAAATCACATTAATTAATTTAAACCTGTTTCTGTTTCAGTAACAGCTGGTGACCTTATCTGAGCCGAATTTTGTAGTTAGAGACTCCAACAAGCTTGTCCATTTCCATAGCGATTGTCATCATTGTCACCACCGCCTCCTCCTGAGAAAAATGTATAATATCACAAAGGACTACCACCTCACCCGCCTCATAGGAAACCTGCTACAAAACAGGAGCTTTTTTGTTGAGTTCCAGGCCAGAGAAGCAGAGGGCGGAAACAGAAGAACGGCCTGCCTCAGGGGAGCGTGCTTGCTCCATCCATGTTCAACATCTACACAAATGACCAGCCACTGCCAGAAGGGACAGAGAGTTTCATCTATGCTGATGATCGTGCCATTACTGCTCAAGCAGGGAGCTTTGAGATGGTTGAACAGAAGCTCTCCGAAGCTCTAGGTGCTCTTACTGCCTATTACAGGGAAAACCAACTGATCCCTAATCCATCTAAAACACAGACATGTGCCTTTCACCTTAAGAACAGACAAGCATCCCGAGCTCTGAGGATTACCTGGGAAGGAATCCCACTGGAGCATTGCAGCGCACCCAAATACCTGGGAGTTACCCTGGACCGTGCTCTGACCTACAAGAAGCACTGCCTGAACATCAAGCAAAAAGTGGGCGCTAGAAACAACATCATATGAAAGCTGACTGGCACAACCTGGGGATCACAACCAGACACAGTGAAGACATCTGCCCTTGCGCTATGCTACTCTGCTGCTGAGTATGCATGCCCAGTGTGGAACACATCTCACCACACTAAAACAGTAGATGTGGCTCTTAATGAGACATGCCGCATTATCACAGGTGTCTGCGCCCCACACCACTGGAGAAATTACACTGCTTAGCTGGTATTGCACCACCTGACATCCGCCGGGAAGTAGCAGCCAATAGTGAAAGGACCAAGGCAGAGACATCTCCAGCTCATCCCCTGTTTGGGTATCAGCCAGCACGTCAACGACTGAAATCAAGACATAGTTTTCTTAGATCTACAGAGACACTCGATGGAACACCCCAGCAAGCGAGAGTCCAAAAGTGGCAGGCCCAAACCCAGCACCTCAATTCATGGGTGATACCAGATGAGAGACTCCCCCCTGGGCACTCAGAAGACTGGGCGACTTGGAAGGCGCTGAACAGACTGCGCTCTGGCACCACGAGATGCAGAGCCAATCTTAAGAAATGGGGCTACAGGGTGGAATCCTCGGCATGCGAGTGCGGAGAAGAACAAACCACTGACCACCTGCTGCAATGCACCCTGAGCCCTGCCACATGCACGAATGGAGGACCTTCTTGCGGCAACCCCAGAGGCACTCCAAGTGGCCAGATACTGGTCAAAGGACATTTAACCAACTACCAAATTTGCAAAATCTGTGTGTTCTTTCTTTTTTTTCTTTTTCTTTTTAATCTGTGTGTTTGTTTTGCTCTGTTAGAATTGTAATACAATGGTTGCTGATGACACGATAAATAAATAAATAAATAAATAAATAAATAAATAAATAAATAAATAAATAAATAAAATCATTGTCACTGTCATTGCAGTTCAAAAACATGCAAATGCGAGTAGATCAATAGACACCGCTCCGGCGGGAAGGTAACGGCACTCCATGCAGTCATGCCGGCCACGTGACCTTGGAGGTGTCTATGGACAACGCCGGCTCTTCGGCCTAGAACTGAAGATGAGCACCAACCCCAAGTCGGA